TAATAGTTATTGGACATTCATATACATGCAAATAGTAAGGCACCATCTACTAATCAACCGCTATATCGCGTAGTGTTCAATATTTTTTGTTTTTGCTTTGTTCAGGACGACTGCCAGAGTACTAAAATTTTATTTCATATACCAGCTACAATTAATAGCAGCATTCTAATATACTATAAAATATTTTATATATTGTAAAATACACCATGAGTGGTTGTAACAACTTATTATGATCTGTGTGCAGTTGTAATAATCTCGTATTTATCTGTTTCAGAGACGTGAAGCCTGACAACATGCTGATTAGTGCTTCTGGTCATGTGAAACTTGCTGATTTTGGAACCTGTGTCAAAATGGGAAAAGTAAGCCTAACCAACTTCCGTTGCATGCGTTCGCGCGAAGGCTGACGACTGATTCTTTCATTTCAGGATGGTATGGTACGCTGCAGTACGGCCGTTGGAACCCCCGATTACATAAGCCCCGAAGTCTTGCGATCTCAAGGTTCTGAGGGAGTGTATGGTAGAGAATGTGACTGGTGGTCTGTCGGCGTCTTCATATATGAAATGCTTGTCGGTAAGAAATCTGCGTTCTCATTTCAAACAGTCTTCTGTTAACTCTGCCATTTTATACTGATTTAAATTTATGCTTTGTTCTTTGGAAGAATTTGCGGTGGTTACCAGGTTACAGACACTCACGTAAAGTGAGACCTAAATTAGGCGACTGCATAGAGTAGAATAAGTATTATAGAATAAGTTTGTTACCTTCCGAGACGCTTCGAGTTTGTCAGATGTCTTCAATGTCTGTCTTAATGATTTCGCTGCCTCGAGAAGCTCCTCTGGATGATACTGTTGTCTCATTTTATGGTATTACGGTTACTTATAAAAGGTATTGAATTAGTAAGATCCTTACTTGCTTTTGAAAAGTGTTAAGCTGACATGAATATGTTTCAGTGGTTTCAGTGCTTACCGAAATCCATCAGTTGTCAAAACATTGCTTTTAATGGCCTTTTCACAATGAAAGCATGATCCTATTGGATGATGCTTTTGTTTTTTAATATTAGAGTGTTTGAATTGGAATAATATACTGTTGATTAATAATGGTTTTCCATATTTCTAATGAGAATAATTTTTGAAACTGTATAATTGTAACAAAGCACCCGGGAAAAAATAGTGCCAAAGAACAGTGCGAAAAGTTATTCAGGATTGTGTGACACGCAGCAGAGAAAGATCGCTTTCTCCAATGTTCAAATTGCACAGACATCATTAAAGAAAGATGCTGAATGAATAGACGCATCAACGAGGAGGCATTTCTTATCCAATTATGCGAAAATGTCAACCGGGACAAAGGATGCGAACTTTGCACCACGGACTGGACAAACCTTGTCAAGTCCGTTGCCGAAAAACTATTTAACAAAGTTGCAGGGACCAAAAGCACATTTTTGGCTGCGGAAAACTGAACAGATTTTGGAAATCAACTCGGACAGCCCTGAAGACGGCCCATGGAAACGAGCTGAAACGTCATTACTGATCAATCACCTGATTGACAAAATTACTTGCATTGTATATAAATAAATCATGTTTTATAGTTTTCACTAAAGTTTCGTTTTCACTTTCACGAAAGCTCGAACGAAATACTTCATATTCGTCAATTAAGTTTTCATTGACAGTTCGTTGTTGGCACCTATAAAATCAATGAACGGCATGGACCCGTTGCATAGTAATAAATTGTTTAGGTAAATTTCTGAATTTTCGTTTTGCAAGATACTCGTCAACGGCGATGTTCAAAAAATTTGTGCTTTCGGTTTTGTTATGTAAATATTTCGTTGTTTGTTTGATACCTGCTCATTTTCTTGCTCCACCTTGATATTAGGCAATATTTCATGTCTGTCATGCATCGAAATTTAACTTTTGAGATCCTCTATCTTTCTATAGCGAAATCGGTTGTTTTGTGATTCATCGTAAGACTGATTCAAGGATCTTAAGTATAGTGAATTTTCTAGGTACATGATTTGCATATTTAATGCAGTTCTGAATAAGCTTTGAATGCATCATATTCTGTTGCGTCCAAATTGATGACAACTTGTGGATAATCTGTTTGGTTCTTCCTTGGTAGAATGTTTCATCTACTCTTGGAGCAATCTGTTTAGAGTTTTTTGTTATTCGTCAGAAGGCATTTTTCGCTTTTGGTATATACAGTCCCTTTCAGCAGCATCCTGTTACTTTCAAGAAAAACAAACGTTCGTAACAGTTTAAATGATGGCCCTCCTTACAATTTCATTATGGGGCCATCTCTGGCGTCCTTTTTTATTAGTGGAATACTGGTCTTCAATTGTCCATGTTATCAAGGAGGAGCGCCTTATTTTAAAAGAAGAATCGATATCAGCTACGTGGCAAGCGTAATGCGTTCTCTCCCATTTCCTTTTCACAGAGTGGTACTCATCAACCTTAGAAAAATGAACCATGAGCGACCCCTCAAAATGTGTTTTTAATATCCGCAGTGATTCGATTCTTAGTAACTGGGTGATATTCGATGTTTGCTTTGTTTGTCAGCAGTTCTTCACCTATCAGTAAGTTAGTATAAATAATGTGCGAGATACCTTAAATGTACGACGTGATTTTATGGAATGAAATTTAGGTGAAACACCTTTCTATGCTGATTCCCTGGTGGCAACATATTCTAAGATCATGAACCACCAAAATTCGTTGTCCTTTCCCGATGACGTTACCATATCGGCAGAAGCAAAAGATATAATCTGTAAGTTTCTGTCGGACCAGAACCACCGTCTGGGCAGAAGTGGTGTCTCTGAGATCAAGTCGCATTCGTTTTTTGCAAACGATGACTGGAACTGGGATACAATTCATAGTGGTGAGTGTTTTTTTCTCTAAATTTGAACCTAATCTTATTCATATTAGTGTTTAAAGGGCATTTTAAAATTTATTATCCTTAGTTTTTCATTTGTATTTCTGTTAAAAGAAAAATGAGTGAAATTTGAGTCAGAATGTTTCCAGGTTTTCTACTCCAGAAAGGAAATGCCACATTTTGGTAACTCCAAGATGTCCCGCTCTTCGTATATTCAATCCATCGTTTCATATCTGTAATGAGTAGATTACCATTTTGTTGCGATTTCGGTAGTAACATGCCATATCCATCATCTTACAGCGTCGCGTGTATGCCAGTGACGGTTATGATAAACATTTGTGCATAGAAACTATCCACTTTCATGTATTACCGGTATGAATGTTGGCTTTTCGACTATCCACCTATGTGCGATCTGGCGTAAATACGCCCGTAAGATGTTGTTATGTTGCACTTGATTTAGAATTTGCCTTGACCTAAAGACAGTTAATCTGTAAGCGAGAGCGGCCAGGTGCTAACACTTCGTCAAGATCTGATGAACCGCTTATCCCTTTACCATCTACTGGAAGAGAAATAGGAATTTTCTTGTTTGGCTTCGGCGCAGCCATCTTTCTATTTATGTTTACTATCGACCCATTGTAACTTTAACAAGGAATAGTATCATAAATCACTTCTGTTCAGAACGTCTATCTGTTAGAAATTAGAAAGTTTCTTCTCTCTGTCTGGTATGATTTCAATAAATAACTATTTAGATTTGTCCTACTAATTAGCTGAGAATTCTGATTGGTGTTTTATGGCACAAAAAGATTCTTGAATGCACTGTTTCAGTAAGACCACCTGTTGTTCCTGAACTAAGCGGCGATGATGATACAAGTAATTTTGAAGAAATTGAGAAAGATAATACACCACAGGAAAATTTCCAGATCGCCAAAGCGTTTGCTGGAAATCAGCTTCCGTTCATCGGCTTTACATTTGCTCATCAATACAGGTACATGCAAGATTTCTTCAGTATCTGTCCGATCATTTTTTTAATCTTGAATTTAGTCCGTTGGGCTACATTAAGAATTTGAATGCTAATAGTTCTCCATCGGGTAACGATGAGGAGCTCAAGCAACAGCTTGAACAGGAAGTTCAGTCTCGGAAAGAAATCGAAGACAAATACTCGTGCGTGTGGCAAGCTTGACGATGAATTGTTTGGGATGATTGACGGCTATGTTTAGGAAAACTCTGCAACAACTAGAAAATCTCACAATGCACGGCGTAACTCTGCAAAAAGATTATTCTGAAATGGAAAACAGTTTGCGCGCTGCCAGGCATGAACTTGAGGAAGTACTAATTTTGGAGTAGGCGGTTTACTTTTGCCGTTTTAAACAAGCGTTTTAGGTTCAGCAGAAACTTGAACGTGAGATGCAAAACGGAAAGCATTTGGAGGTCCTCCTGCAGGACTCTCAGTCGCAGTTTGAAAAGGTTCGCAACGTTAGCGGCACTTTAGATGCGTTTAAAGCGACCGAATTTGAAAAGCAGGTTCGTTTTGATTTCTTGTCGATATTTTCTGACCAGTACATTTATTCGCTAACGTTTCTGCTGTCATTGGTGGTCGACTGAATCTAACGATGATAATTGTATATGGTGACTTGTTTTACTCTTTGTTATATGTGTAATCGCATTTTGAAAAGTTTTTGGTCATTATTCAAATAATTTTGCCATGTATATATTTTCTCTCAAATAAGAGATGGCAAAAAGTGACTGTTTTAGATCACACAACTGACGGAGAAATTGCAGGCGAAGAAAGAGATCGAGGCGAAGCTCACTGCCGCTTATGATCAGCTAGAAGAGGTTTGTCCGAGCTTCTGAGCTAACTGTATGGTAGTCACTATTTCTGGTTTTTCAGAAGCACAAGACGCAGGAAAACTTGGTGCAACAGCTTCGCATCGATTTTACTGCACTTTCAAAACAGTGTGAAAAGGCAAAGGACGACTTACAACGCGCAAACCGGTCTTTGGCCGAAGAATGTGAGGCGAAGCGCAAAAACGAGGAAATGGTACAGTCGTTACAAGGCGAGTCGATTTGTTTGTATGAGTGAAATCATGTTACAAGTTTCTGCATGCCCATTTTGATGCCTTTTCTCTGTCATAATGTCAGGCGTTATATCACTGTGTGATGAGCGCTCGTACTTAGGAAAATGGATAATATTCCTGGAGTTGCACTGGGTAACACGGCAATCGTTAACTTTTCATGCGCTTCATTCTTTGTCGACAAGAGAGCTTTCCTTCAACTCTGCACACCACTTTAAAGGCGATGGGAGATCAGTGTGAAGAGGAAATGTAGTTCTCCACACCGACATACCGTCATATCTTTTATGTATATAAACCTTGGCTCTAGAGATAAAAACGAGGAAGGCATGTAAAATCCTTCATCACTTGTGTTTCTGAGTCATTTCAGCGGACACGATTTATCAGCTAAATATGGAACAGTGCATTCCGTCCAGCCCTTTTTTTTTCATAAAACTGTGGTCGCTACATTGCATAAAACGCGCACTGCGACGCCCAGCAGACGAAACGACATTAATTACATCGAACTCCATTTTTTCCTGTTATTTACGCTAATTTCCCTGATTTCGACCATCCAGGTCATGGTACTTGCTCTCCATTTCCAGATGTTTAGATCTTTCATATTTCTAGCTCATGAATCATCGTCATTTTTTACACGTGAAAACTGAGTGTAAAACGAGAAGATTTCTTGCATTTTGTAATGAACTCAGCTTTCAGTAAACGCCAATAACGGAGGACAATATTTGTGGCACAAGACAGAGTGGCTGTAATGCAGACTTTCAGATCACTGAACTAATGTTAATTGGTGCTTTAATTTGCGCAGTTTATTGTTAGCAATAGCTAGCTTACAGCAGCCTAGAGTGCGTTGCAAACCATGTTCATAGGAAACCGCTTGACCAAATACAGTCAGAAATTATGTAAACAATTATTCATAAACTTTTTCGTCCGTTCTCATTTCAAGTTTCGGTTAATCCTTACATAAGCCGGAGATATGTATATGGGTGGGAGCCGGATGGACCAGATAAAAGAGATGGCAGTGCATCGGGATCGCTTGAAACAAGAGCCATGTTGCCCTGTTTCGTGTTTGCTAGGTTTAGATGAAAGCGACAATTTAAAAAAAGTACATTCACGCCATACTCGTTTCAAGGAGATCTCATGTGTTTCCAGACCTTATTCACGGTCATGGTTTAGGTGCTGTTACTTCAGTTGTTCAGGTGACGATTTTCCTTCTCATGGCCATTTTTTATTGGCGACTGAGTTTTTCATGTCAGACCTTTGCAAACCAAAATATGTTGCCTTTGCGACGACAGTGAATAGCATAAAACAAGCCTTCTTTTGTGTCAGTGATCTGTGACTAATCAGAGAAACTCTGTTCATACTTGTTTGGCTTGAGATGTCGACCATGAAACGTTGAAATTGTAGATATGAAGCGTACTATCAATGCAAAATTGTAGGAACTCGAAACTGTGTAGAGGACAGAAGATATTTGAAAAGTGTTAGTCTCAGCGGCTGTTGCATAGGCTATTTACATTCAATATCTTCAACTCTTCAGGCAGTCTTAGAACCCTGGCTAAAAACGCAAACCTAAATGACGATGTAGTTCTGTACAGGATGGTAAATCTGTTGGATCTCTTTTGGATTAAGTTTTGAAACTGCAGATCTTTTATTTTTTTGGCTTTTAGAAGCGAACCGTAAACTTCAACTGGAACATCGTGTACTTGAAGCGGAAATCAAGCGATATGTGGAGGAAAATGCGATGTTGTCACAAAGCAGATGTAATCTTGAGAAGGTGATTATTCTGTCTTAAATATTTTTAATCGTTTTGAACGTTTCTACGCTCAGAGTTTATTACCAGATTATATCAGTATGAATACTGTCTTGATTCCTCGCTCTATTTCGGAAGCCTCTACTGTTATTGTATTCAGATCATAGTTGGTATTTCAAGGATGTATATTTCTCACCGTTTTGATTTTGCAGGAAAATATTCGCAGCATTATAAGCTGCATAAATGAGGGTTGGCATAGATAAATGCAACGGGCTGATATTCCTGCGATGAATTTCCATATACCTTTTATTAAATTGAGCCTATTAAGCACTCTTGATATCCAGCATCGACAAAGAATATTTTGTTCGGAAAGATAGTATCTGCAGACTGGAGTCGTTTTTCTCTGGCGTAGCTTATATGTACTGTGTTACCCTTTTTCTTCATTCGGAAAATGAATGACCATTGACCCACAGTTCTTTCAGTCTGAGTAGCCCCTTCGATATTTTGCCGGCTAGTCTACCTGGCCCATAAACGATACAAATTAGTAATTAAGAAAATGCTTGAATAGTAAGCCAGTCGATTCACCGGTTGCCATAAACTTTGTAAAATACTATGATTAACGTAATCTTGCGATGCTCGCAGTGGACCATTTAAATAAAAGTAAAACAGTGTCACATTTAACCCTTTTGTGTGCTCAATGTTGCAGATACAAGACATCATCGGTTAGATTTGTTTTGTAAAGAAAACATTTCATATTTCGTTTTCAGGAGTTAGCGTTATCACAGGTAGATCTGAAGAGCCTGGAAGACGATCTTAGTAATCGAATAATGAATGCTTCTAGAGGTTAGTAGACTCGATTGTTTCTTACATGCGGTGACATTCGGCCTTAGAAGTGAAGCAGGGTGCGGATAAAACTCGGCAAACCTCTGAAGATAACACGGGCTTTACGAATATGTGCGATGTTGGAACGCTGACGACCGACCTCGAGCAAGTGAACGATCAGCTGAAGCAGGTTAAACTGGAGAATGATTCGCAAAAGCTAAAGGTGAGAAGAATCGAAGTGCTTATTCTTGCGAAACTGTTTTTAAAAGGTAACTTCATAGACGCTGAGATATCGGTGTCTCTTACTCTTCCCTAATGGCCATCGTTTGTGGAACCTTTTTTTACGGAGCGTACGGTTAGGCACTGATCTACATTCATACACCAACAGCCATGAGTGCCTTGTGTTAAAGGCAATGTCTATAGCTATGTGGAAAACAGCACATAGCTTTCTGTTTCTCTACCTATAGGAAAGGCATAAGTTATCATGATCATTCATCTGTTAGTCCCATGTTCTACCGACTGATCAGCTCGACTCGTTAATGGTTGTAGCCGAAAAAGGCTAATGTTCGTTCATAGTCCTGTTTTTGATTCTTTGATTCACTGCTTGTTGCATTGTGTGGAAATCGCTGAAAACTGCTCGAAACTGCCATTGTTCATCTAAAGCTGTCTTTCCTTTGCCATGACAGGAAATCGAATAATGTGTCGTGCTACATGGCATTTTATCAATTGTATCATTCAGAATCGTTCATTCCTCTGGTTCAGTAGCAAAAATACTATGTATGTGGTGTGCACATGTTTTGTACATTACTGAATGACTTTGATTTGTGTCGTTTTCAGATTCAACAGCTTACCGTAGATTTGAACATGGAGTCTGCCAAATCTGTTTCTTTGCAAAATGAACTTAACAATGTCTTGGCCGAACTGAACGCGCTTCGATGCACCGAAAAATCTTTGAAATCAGTAACTGTTGACTGGATGGTCGTCTGTTTTAATACTGTTTAACTTTGTAGGAGAACGAAACGTTGAAGCGACAGAAGGCCGATATGCAGAACATGATCTGCGACCTTAAGACGTGAGTTTCCGTATATGCCATGCTGTTTCTTATCTGCGATGAATTCAGAGCTAACGAAATGCGGTACTCCGAAACAGAAGACGTTCGAGAGCAGCTTGAGACACAGCAGTTCTTTTCTGTACTCTTGGTGCGTTTTGTTTTTTCTTACTAACTTCTTGAATTTAGAGTTTGTATAAAAGTGAGTGTAACGAATTGAGGGAAGACATTTCGTTGAAAGACGTCGAACTTGGCAATATCAGGTATTTAATTTTTCACTATTGATAGCTTATTATGGTATGTTTGTAGATCTGGCCGTTTCTACTTTAAATGCACCTTAATGTACTCTAATTAATTGTTTGGCCAGAAAACCAAAATATGTTCGTACGCCAGGGTATATCAAATAGTGCATAACTTCTTCAGTGTCAGATTGCTTCGGCAACTTTCTTCTGTTTGCCTAGTGTGCCATTAGGCAGGCCCTGTTTTATGCGGTATTTGAGCACCAACAGAAGCAGATTCATCTTGCATAATTTGTTCGTTAGAACCGCCACGTGCTTATGACGAACGATGTTTAAGATGCTAGTATTCCTTATATGCTACGTGTAAACAACAAGATCTCACGCTGTCATTTCAACTCTTTTGAGTATGATGCCTAATATATGTGATCGGTTGGATTGTTAGATTGTTTTCTTTTGTCCTGAATATGATGACTACAACGCTAAAGTTTTGAATACACTGCTAATCCATACTTTCTTGATTTTCGCTACCGAATTTGTGAAAGATTTCATTTACTCTTTATTTCCTCTTGTCATTTATCAGACGTCGTCTGTATCATTCTTCGATACGTATTTGGAAAAGGCTTCTAAACTACTAAGATGTTACCTTGGTCAGAGAAATTAATTTTCTCTACATTATGACCGATATGTGTTTAGATCATCCTTTGGAGAACATGTGCAGTTGGTTCGTGCACAATCTGAATCTGAGCGCATAGCTCGAAAAATTGCTGAGCAGTCGCTCAGTGACGTTGAGAAAGAGAATACCATGCTTGAATTGGAGGTAAAACAGCTTATCAATCGATACAAGCAAGAAGTCGCCAGCAAGGATTTGGTAGTTCAGACGGTAGGTTATCAGAAATGCGTTCTTCTTTCAACCTTTATAAAGTGTTTAAATTTTGACGTTCTGTCTATTGAGTGGATTTCGCTAGCTTAACTTCATTTTGGCCTATCTTTTTGGGAGGTTCTCGTTGAGTTTTACTTGCAAATATATCGTTCTTTAATTTTTTTTAAATCTAAATCGCAAGACCAATAATAGCAAGTTTTTTTGCTGCTTTCGTAAAACCGGCTTTACCGTAATGTTTAACTCTAGATTGTGGCGTCACTTATTTAAATGCCTTTAATAA